GTCCAGGTCGATCTCTTCCGTAGCCTCAGCCGCCTCTCCTTGCAGCGAGTTCATGACCAGAAACGCTCCCTCGCTGATGGCGGTCGTGCCGCGCTTGCGGCAACACCTCTCGAAGACCTCTAGCTTTCGTCTGAAAGCTCGGTAGCCGTCGGTCTTCAGCACCTCGTAGCTGGGCGCCGTCTTAGACAGGCCCGCGTCGAGTCCTCTGCCCCCGTCCCAGTTGGAACTCTCCTGGCGCCACCAGCCTCCGCCCGTCCAGCCAGCCCACTCCTCGGCGTAGGCTGCCTCGTCGCCCTCGCTGCCGGGGACCCGAGTGGTCGCGGCAGCGGGGTCCACGCCGCTGGCAGCCGAAGCAGCCGCGGCGGCAGGGGGCGGGGTTCCCGGCGGTTTCGCCGGCGGCGGTCCTGGCGGCTTCGCCGCTCCGCGGGGCGGCGTCGCGCCAGCGGGCATGGCGCGGGGACGGGGTGCCGGAGATGGGTGTGGATCTCCGGCTCCGCTACCAATCTCAACCGATGGCAGCACACTAAGTCTGTCTCGGGATGTACGTGATCTGATTATCTCGATAATCTGGGAAAGAATACGCAACCTTTTCCTGTGACTCAGGGGCCCCTGAACATCAAACGGCAGCGGTCCAGACATAATCAAACACTGTGCTAATAATCAATGCAAACGAACACGGCATACACACATGAAAACTCAATGAAACGTGGGTGATATTGACAGGTGGTGGGGCTGGTGGTGGGGAGTGGGGACAGTGCTACGGTGGTGGGGACAGTAGAGACAGTCGGGAGAGTGGGACCGTGGTGGGGAGAGTGGTGGGGACAGTGGGGACAGTGCGACAGTGGTGGGGGCACTGGTGGGGACAGTGGGGGGACAGTGGTGGGACAGTGGTGGGACCAGTGGGACAGTGGTGGGGACAGTGGGGACAGTGGGACAGAGGTGGGAACGGTGGTGGTGGGGACATTGGTGAGGGGACGGTGGGACAGTGGTGGGGACAGTGGGACAGTGTGGGGACGGTGATGGTGGGGACAGTGGTGAGGACAAGTGACAGTGGTGGGGTCAGTGGGGACAGTGGGACAGTGGTGGGGACGGTTGTGGCAGGGACGGTGGTGAGGGCGCTGTTGAGGACGGTGGTGGGACAATGCGACAGTGGCACAGTGGGGACAGTAGTGGGGACAGTGGGGACTGGGACCGTGGTGGGGGCATTAGTGGGGACAGTGCGGCAGAGGTGGGGGCACTGGTGGGGACAGTGGGGACAGTGATGGCAAAAGTGGGGACAGTGGGACAGCGGTGGGGACAGTGGGGACAGTGGGGACAGTGGGACAATGGTGGGGACGGGGACGGTGGGACAGCGGTGAGGGCGGTGGTGAGGACGGTGGTGGGACAATGGGGCAGTGATCCAGTGGAGACAGTGGTGGGGACAGTGGGGGCAGTCGAACACTTGCGGGAATATTGGGGACAGTGGGACAGCACAGTGGGACAGTGGTGGGGACAGTGGGGGCAGTGGGGCAGTGGTTTGGACAGTGGGGACAGTGGGACAGTAGTGGGGACAGTGAGGAGAGTGCGACCGTGGTGCGGACAGTGGGGGGACAGTGGGGACAGTGCGACAGTGGTGGGGGCACTGGTGGGGACAGTGGGGACAGTGGTGGCAACAGTGGGGACAGTGGGAAGGCGGTAGGGACACTGGGGACAGTGGGCCAGTGGTGGGGACGGGGACGGTGGTGGTGGGGACAGTGGTGAGGGCGGTGGTGCGGATGGTGGTGGGGACGAGTCGTTTGCCGGCGGCGAGTGGGGGGGGGTTCGAACCGGCAGTGGCCCCGCCTGGTGGTTTTCCGGGGTGGAGGGGGGGTTGGGGGGGTTTCTTGCCGGGGGAGGGGGCAGGATTTCGGAGGGGCGGGGGGGGGGCCCGGGTTCTGCGAGAAGAGGGGGGGTGAATCCCACCAGCCCTCTGGGCGTAGGTGGTTTAGGGAGCTTCCTCTTCCAACCTCCTTCTTCCCTTCCGGGGAGGGGTTTATCATTGTTCCCTATTAATAAACACCCCTCCCCCAGGCGATTGGTAGCCAACCAGGAACCATGAGAGCACCCCCCCACCATCCCTGGCAAAAAAACAATACAATACACACTCTGCCTCCAAATTCGGAGCATGCGCAGCCAACCCGATGCGGCTTCCCCCCACCATCCCTGTCAAAGAACAATACAGAGTACGCTTGGCGGCGGCGGCGGCGGCGGCGGCTGCGGCGGCGGCGGCGGCGGCTGCGGCGGCTGCGGCGGCGAGTGGCGCGGCGGCCGGCGGGGCGGCGGCGGCGGCGGCTGCGGTGGCGGCGGCGGCGGCAGTGGCGGCGGCGGTGGCGGCGGCGGCGGGGGCGGTGGCGGCAGCGGCTGCGGCGGCGGCGGTGGCGGCGGCGGCGATTTGGCAGCGGGGGCGGCGGCGGCGGTTGCGGCGGCGGCGGTTGCGGCGGCGGCGGCGGATTGGCCCTCAGTAGCTGCCCATCCAAAGGCGATTGCTGAATATGCTGAGGCTCGGGCCAGACTCGGGTGCTACGTATGTGTTGGGAGGGCGGGTGGGAGTGAGTGAGACGGCTTGCGGGCGGGGAGGGTCTTGACCCTTCCCCCTACCCCCTCCCCTGGACTTGGACGGGGGGGTTCGCGACGCGTTGGAGCGTCCAAGAGGGCCCAATACGGCCCCAATAGCGCCTCGGAGAGCCCAAGATGAGCTCCAAGCTGGCTTAAGATAGCTTCCGATGCCTCAAGATGCCTCCGAAGATGCTCCAAGAGGCCCCAAGACCGCCCCAAGACGGCTCCAAGAGGCCAGAGAGCTTCCCAAGGAGGCCCCCCCAAGAGGCCAACATCTTTCAAAAGCCAAAGGGAAACTAATGATTGTTGCCTTCTCGCCTTTTCGCTGCCGATGGCCATCCGAGGCCTCAAGATGGCTCCAAGAGGGCTCCAAAAGGGCCCCAAGAGGGGCCCAAAAGAGCCCTAGGACGGCCCCAAAAGCGCCCAAGAGCGCTCCAAGAGCGCCCTAAAAGGGGTCCAGGAGGCGATTTTAGGAGCTCCCGAGGGGGGACCGTAATTAGGGACCCCCCCTTTTTCGATCGATGTCCTCCAAGATGGCCCCAAGAGGCGCCCAGGATGCCCCAAGAGGCACCATGTTGGCCCCATGATGGCCCCAAGAGGCCCCCAAGAGGACCCCAAGCGGCCCCAAGAGGCCACCCCGAGGCACCCAGGACGCCCAAGAGTCGTTCAGGACGGCCCTCTACTCGCCTGGGCGTCGTTTCTGGATGGGCTGGTGGGGATATGTTTTGTTCGCGGGCGAAGCAGGTAGCTGCGCGCCGTCCAAACAGAGCTGGTGGGGATACGCGAAGCGTTTCGAATTTTCCATAGCAAAGCGGCGGTGGATCACGCTCTCTTTTGTTGATGCACTTCCTCCCAGCAAAAAATCCGGGCCAGCGTTTCTTGGCCAGCTTGCCGAAGCGCTGGCGCAGCTTCTTGAGCACGCTCGCCCCTCGAGCGCCAACGACAGAACTTGACCCAGGCTTCATCTAAGAAACTTTTGGGAAGCTGGCCCGGGTTTCGTACAATATCATTCTCTGGATCATATGTTAAGAAGTCGGCCTGCCAGGAGGTGGCACGGAAGTGGCCGCTGGGACCAGCGGAAGCCCTGCGGCAACCTAGTTAGGGCACTCAAAGATCGACGAAAGCTGTGCCCCAGGATTTCTCATACTTAAAACACTAGTTTTCGTCAGAGTGAGGGGCCAACAGGTAATTTATTCGATCGCTTCGTTCACTCCGCTGGCCCATATTGTCGCAGCGCTGTCGGCTGGCCGAGTGGTTGTTTGCAGTGTGGGCCTGCGGGGGTGTTTTTTGTTTTCTGAGTCGTTTTGTTCGGAATGATGCATGTTAGGGCTGAAGGAGTTCTCGAGGAGCAGTCTGGGGGCGATTCGTTTGGATCTTCCGAGGAGTTGTCGGAGGTATTGTTTGTTCTTTGCACGGGGCTTCTAGGTGTTTGCTGCTTCGGCAGCGAACACTTAGAAATTGCCTCGGAGGACCCTCTGGGGATTGATTTGGCAGGGTTCGGCACCATACAGCCTCCTATCTGCCGTTTGCGTGAGAGCTCGTTGTCATTGCGGCGCTATTTGGATCTCTCGGCAGGCGCCTGGGGAGCTCTTGGAGTTCCGTTTTGGGCTTCTTGGGGGCTTCTTGGAGGCTTCTTGGGGAGCCGCTCGCGGTCTCGGATGCGTCCTTGGAGCGGAAAGCTCGAACTGTCATGTGGAGTTCCTGGGCGCCTCTTGGGGCTCTCTTTGGCTGTCTTGAGGCTCTCTTGGGCTTATCTTGGAGGCCTGTTGGGCCCTCTTGGCGCGATCTTGGGGGCGCTTGGGCAGTCTTGGACGCTGTGAAATACCAAAAACGGTAGATGCCAAAAAGCACGTATTCCTAAGGGAGTGGCGCAATGTTTGCTTCTTGGGACCTTGGAGGGCCTCTTGAGACTCTTCTGGGGCTTCTTAGTGGCCCCTAGGGCTGTCTGAGGGCTATGTCTGGCGTCTTTCAGCGACTCGGAGCCCTCTTGGACCGTCTTCGGGGCGTCTCGAGGCCCTTTCGGCGCGCTCACAGGACCTGCCAGGGACCTGTCCAGGGGTTGGTCGGGGTACTTTTCGTCCGGGAGCCCCCAGGAGCCGCCCCGCGCGCGCAAACTAGAAGTACTGTTATTATTATTGTTAACCAGTGACCGGAGATCCTAGCACGCCTCTGGCCAGTTGGGCCGGCGAATTGTACCCTGGGTGCGTGACAGAAGTGGCGTCCCGTCCGGCGGATGCTGCTTGTTGTGTTGTCGTTGCGTTGTCTTCGCCCTCGCCCGCGATCCAGCCGCGGCCCACCCCGCGACCCAACCCGCGACTCACCCACGATCCACCCGCGCGCGACCCACCCCGCGCCCGCCCTCGCCCTCTTACCCGCAAGTGCGGGCTGCCGCGCGTGCCTGCTGTGTTGTGGTCCCACCGCCCGCGGAGGTCCCGAGGAGTTCGCCGCGTCGAGCTGCCGCGGCTGCGCCTCTCGTTCACGCGCAGCGGCAAGCGCCTCTACTGCGACCAGCACAGGACGGAGCTTTGCGGGCAGGGGCGTCCGGGGCAAGGTTTTGAGGCGGGGGAGATCTCAGGGGTGGGATGGGCTCAGGGGCAGCGTCACGGGGAGGTTTTCGGGAGTCGTCACGGGCTCCCTTCGGTTTTCCAGCCTCGGCGTACTGTCCAGCAGTTGCGCCTCGCCGAGAGCGTTCCGGGCGTGCCCAGATCGTCCCGGCCGGCTGCCAGCGAGCCGAGCATCACCCGAAAGTTTTAGGAGCAGCGTTCAGGGGGGATGGCCTCAGGGAGGGGTGCTTTGACCCACCAGTGCTCTCTCATCGCCGAGAGGTGCCCGAATCCCTGGCCCCGCCCAGGAACGTGCGGCTTCGCCGTTGGGGGGCCTACCGCCGCTCTGTCGGCGATGTGCCGCAGGCTCCGGGCCGATGCTCGCCCCTCCCGAGTTGGCCCCCCGTGTTGTTTTTGGCGTCACGACTCGGGCCTCCGCCGGCCGTTCGAGACGACCCGGGCACCCCAGGAAAACTCGACTAGACGTAAGAGTGACTTCTCGCCGGAGTGACCTTTGGTGCGGGCCGAATGGGGCCCCCCGATCGCCGAGCGCGATGCGGTGGTAGCGTCTTGCGCGCTCGCGCTTGGTCCCCCCGCGGCCCCCAAAAAGCCGCGCACCAAAGGTCACTCTTGCCCAGGGTCACTCTTGCGTGTGGCCGGAAAACGCCCTCGGCGAGGCGCAGCCGCCAGGCACCCCGAGGCGGGCAGGCCGGTCCAGGCCCGACGAGCACCCCCCGAGGGCCTCGAGCCTCGCAGCGCCGACGGTTCGACCTGCACGGCGTTCCGGGGGATTGCGTGGGCCGTCCTCGTTTCGGTGTCGTTTCTGCAGCAGGGGCGGGACGGATGCACGGGAGACGAGGGACAACGACAACACTGAGTTGTGGAGGACGATCAATGGAGAGGAGGCATGCTGCCAAACCCTTTCAGATGTCTAGAATATCTTTCAAACGTGTAAGAAAACAAGCTTGAAACAGGTTTATAGCATTTTTCCGACACGTTAGACACATGTCAAATTCAATGGCAGGACTGTTAGGGTGTCCATTGTCGTGGCATCCACAACAACCCGAGTGCCAACGGACAGGAAGCCGCCTGCAGGTCGAGCAGCAGCCCCCGAGCCGGGCGCCCCCCCCCTGGCGCTCCCCCTTTTCCAGAGGAGGGTCGAGCAGTGGCGAGGCCTCCTGGCTTTTGCCGAACAGGCCCACCGGTGCACGCTCTAAGACTCTGGTGCTCCAGCCTGCTCTTGGCCTCGACCACCAGCAGGAATCTCGGGCACCAGGACTGTACCGAAACTCGAGGGTTTTCACGTGCCGGGCCCTGGGAGAAAGTCGCCCGACACTGTTTCGACACTTTTCCGGGTGCTCGAAACTGTTCCTGGGACGAGGTCCGTAAGTAGGATGGGAGCAACATAGTTCTAAGAAGCTTTTGTGGCCTGCGCGCAGTGTTCTTAGAAGGCTTCTGGCTGGGACCGTCTTGTGTTAACGCCTCGGGCTCTCATGTTCGAAGGACGTTGCTTCATGCTCTTAGAACACCTCGGCTTGGCAGTGTGGGGTAATCCACATGTGCCGCCGCTGGTGTGCGCTCGAGTCCCGAGTCTGTTTAAGGATCATTTGTTCACCACCTCTGGGAGGTATTCCGCGACAGATACACCTCTTCAGAGCTGTTCGATGTCGGATTCCAGCGGGTCGTTGCTTCCTCGTGCTAGGACACATGTTTCAAATAATGTTTAGCGTTTGGTCTTCGCGCATTTGTTGGGTTCTACGAACATGTCGTGGTAGGCCTACAGGAGTGGAATGCCTGGACGGTCGGTCCCTGCCCAGAGGCTCCCCCTCTCCGGAGGTAGGGTTAGGTCGGGCGTGTCCCCCTACAGGCGTATTTTGGACGAGAAATTAAAAATAGCCAAAACAACATGCACAAATTATCGAAAATGCCCACAAGATCGTCCAAAGACTATGTTTGACTAGTTTTGCACATTCCTCCTGACGGGGGACAGGCCCGACTTCAAGGTAGGGGGGGGGGGCTGCGGCTGGGGAGGAGCGGCCTGGCGCAGCCACCAGTGGCCACCGCAGGAGAGGTCGAGCGTTAAGTCGGGCATCTCCCTCCTGCAGGAAGAGTATTCAATAATAGTAGAACGTAGTTTCGGGGCGATGCTTCGTGCTCTTCGAGCTCTGTTTGACAATGTCTGTACTACTTTTTAGATGTGTCTCCTTTCGACAATTGCTTTACTACTTTTTTGATGTGTCTTCCAAAGTCCGCATGTAGGAGGACCTGCCCGACCACAATTTCAGCGGGCCCCGGCCGGAGGTGGTCCCCTGGGGTGCTGTTCGCCGCTTGTGTGGTGGCCCCGGGCCCTCCACTCGAGGAGCAGGGCGCAGTTGCTCGGAGCTCTCGCTCTCCTGCTTCTCTCCGTTCTGGGCCTCCTGGCTGGGGTCGGAGCAGACGGGGTCGGAGGAGCGCGCCACATCGCCGATGCATCGCCGATGCGGCTCGATGTGAAGCCCGCTTTTCTCGACGCCGATGTCGCCGATGCGTCGCCGACGTCGGCGATGCATCGCCGATGCATCGCCGACGCATCGCCGATGCATTGGCGATGCGGCGCGCTCCTCCGGCCCCATCTGCTCGGACCCCATCTAGGAGGCCTGTGCTCCTGCTCCTCTCCGTGCGGCCGGTTCTTCCTCTCTGCTCCTTGCCGCCTGTTCCCGCTCCCTGTTCTTGTTGTCGCTGTGTACGCGCGTGGCGCTCAGTCTTTCTCGCTGGGCTGGCCGGGCCGTTCAGAGTATTCACGACGTTGCCTGGGGTTTGGTCTTGCGTTGTGTAGGGGGATAATCATATTCAGTCGGGCATGTCCCTCTACAGGAGAAATGTTCAAGAATAGTTTAAACATAGTATGGTGTCGATTCGTCGTGCAATTGTGATTTTTGTTTAGTTGTGTTTTGGCAGTTTCTTTATGTTTCTGTCGAAATCCGCCTGTAGAAGGACACGCCCGATCTGATAACAATCTGAGCATTTTCTTTGGGTGGAGGGCCAAGGGTGAAATCTAAAGTGCCGTTTCGATTGATCTTCGAGGCTCGAATCTGCACAAGGTGATCCACGAGACGGATTGAACTTCAAGGTGCAGAAGCCCATCTGGACTTCACCCTGAGCCCTTCACGATGAGAATGATGGGCATGTTTTCCACCACCACCATAAGTTGAAGGGGGGAAGGAGGTGGAGGACGAGGAGGAGGAGGAGGAGGAGGAGGAGGAGGAGGAGGAGGAGGAGGACCCCCTCCCCCTCCAACTGATGGTGGTAGTGGAGGAAAATAGGCCCATCAGAGAAGATGCTCAGACAGCCATCACCGCTCCTCTGCGCGTTTAGCGCGGGCTTCTTGGCTCGGCGCCGGGGCCTCCCCGGCGGGCGCGCTCCAGCGCCCTCCGCCGGCGCCGCCGGCGCGCGCCGGGCAGGGCGAGGGGCACGGTGCCGATCCCAGAAGTCCGCGCGGACCTCCGAGCACTCAAGAGGAGAGGAGGAGGAAGGAGGAGGAGGAGGAGGAGGAGGAGGAAAAGAAGGTAGGGAGGAGGAGGAGGGAGGAGGAGGAGCAGGAGGGGACGATGAGGAGGAACTATGAGAGGAGAGTTAGGAGGAGAGAGAGGAGGGTAGGGGGAAGAGGAGGCAGAGGAGGAGGAGGAGGAGGAGGGAAGGAGGGAGGAAGGAGAAGGAGCAGAAGGGGAGGATGAGGAGGACGGATGGGCAGAGGAGGAAAGGAGGAGGAGGAGGGGAGAGGGGAGGAGGAGGAGTGCTCCTGGCTCGTTTTGTTGTTGCCGCAGCCCTGGGGCCCCAGGCTGCGGTCCTCGGGGGCCCTGCTCCTCCTCCTGCTCCTGGTTCTGCTCCTCCTCCTCCTCCTCCTCCTGCTCCTCCGCAACCTGCTCCTCCTCCTCCCTCCTCCTCCTCCTCCTCCTTCTCCTTCCTTCTCCTCCTCTTCCACTTCCATGCAGCCGGGCTGCGGCAACATCCCCTGGGGGGAGTCCAGGCTTCCACTACTCTGTCCGACCCTGAGCCTCCTAGCCCTGGGCCCCCACGGGTCCGGATCTGACTCTCGAAAAATGGAACAGGACGGACAGCTGTTCCTGCCTGCCGGGAAGAAGACCCCGGTGGCATCCGGTGAGGCCGAAGGACGCCGTGGCGTACTGCGTGCTTCTGATGCGGTACGCCCGGCTCCTGTGGCAGCCATCGGTACATAGCAGGCACGGCTCGAACCTCCTGCGGTGGTGTGGACAGGGGTGCTCCCCAGGCCCCGCCGCGTCCCGCTCGACGGGACCTCGCAGGAAGAATGAAGCGAAGCGTGCGTGTGTGTCTCTGTGTGTTGATTGGCGCACATATCTACGCTTGCGCCTCCGCCCACCTGCACTGCTGTGCGCTCGAGCAGCTCTGATACCTCCCCTCTTGACCTGCCCCTTCCCTCGGTTCCCCTCGTCCTACGTCGGTCCCCGTTCGATGGTCCCGCCCCCCCCCCCGCCCCCGTCAGGGCTTCCATTCCCCCCCTCCGTGAGTCGTGCCGCGCGGTTCCCTTATCTTGTCAGCTCAGCCTCCCTGCCGCCGCCCAGCTGGCCCGACAGGCCCGCTGTCCGCTTCCATCTCCAGCCTTCGCCAGAGCTTGCCGCGTTGCCTCGCGAGTGGCCACGACGACGTGTGTGTGTGTGTGTGTGTGTTGTATGTGTGTTTTTTTGTTTGTGTGGGGGGCTAGACGTCTTTCTTCTCAGCCACATGATCACCGCGAGCTGGGAGAATATGATGAGATAAGAGGAAAGGAGTGAGGGAGAAGGAGGAAAGAGAAGAGAGGAGGGAAGGAGGAGGAGGAGGAGGAGGAGGAGGAGGGAGACTAGAAGGAACCCTTCAGAGAGCAGCAGCAAGCGGCGGAGAGCAGCAGAGAGCGGCAGAGAGCAGAGCAGCGTTCGCTCTCGCACTCAGTCTCACGAGCTCGCAGGCTCACTCGCGCTCGGACACGCAGGGAGGAAAGTGGAGGAACGCGCTAGCGCATAGACGCGCAGATCTGGGAGTTCGCATAGACGCAGATCGAACAACACAATTATTTCGAGGATGTCTCAAGCGAAATAAGCAATACGTTGACGGTGTCTCAAGCGAAATAAGCAATAGTTTGTGGATGCCTCAAGCGAACCAAGGGATTTGTTGAGGATGTCTCCAGCGAGATAAGCCATTGTTGATGATATTTCTATGGAGACTAAACGCCAAGGATGTCTCAAAACGTACTCGGCTTGGCTTCTCTTGATCATCTCTTACTTCGAGATTATGCTGAGGTCTGTTGGGCTACTTTGATTATCTCCCCCTGAACCCCGAACTTTATTATCCCCTAGTGTTTATTCTCACGGGTTAGCGGTTACTTTGATTGTTCCCGACACCCAGGTGTCTGGGCAGTGGGAGCGGCGTTGATACTCCACAGGTGGGAGCTGGTGCGAACCGACGAGGACGACGAAGAGCTCTGGGAGCGTGCCGCTCTGAGGTTCGGGGCGGACTCCCGATGGGGAGTATAGCAGGACGTGTGAGGAGGAGGAGGAGGAGGAGGAGGAGGAGGAGGAGGAGGAGGGCCACAACGAAGCCGACGGGGGCAGGCAGAGGCAAGGTGAGGAACAGGCAGTTTAGACGGAGGAGGAGGAGGAGGAGGAGGAGGAGGAGGAGGAGGAGGAGGAGGAGGATCAGTGCCAATCCAAGACGCATCAACGATGTTGCAATACACGCCCCCTTCAAGGTCTCTCTTTACAGGCCCTTGCTAGAAATTATCTGCAATGTGGGAAGTGCCCACTGTCATACATCCGTTTCATAATCCTCAATCGTGCCAGAACGCCGTTCCTCGGACTTGAAGACCGCGAAGCAACGTGATCTGGGCTTCTAGATAATCCTACATCGTGGCAGGACACCTTTGTGTGGATTTCAACACCGCGAATCAACGTGACTGTTGCGTCCCGGCAATCCTAAATCGTGGCAGGACACCTTTCTTGGGGCTTCACCATACGAGTCCTTGAAACGCTGCAAGCGCTGCAAGCCTTTAATACGCTTGCGCGCGGCGCTGGGGCAAGAACCGCATTTTGAAAACGACCCGTCCTCCATCCCTTAAGCTGCTGCACATTTCAAGCTTCAGGGCCATGCATGGTGAGGAAGTCCCAGCCGAAACGCCAGGCACGCCCTGCCGACACGCCTGGGGGTGCGACAGGGAGGACACATGTTTCAAATGGCCTTCGGCCCATCCCCCCACCGTGCCTGGGTTGTGGGTCACAGGCCTGGATGTTCGTTGGGATGTCGCAGGAGGCCTCTCAGGGGCCTCTTGGGGGCCGTTTTGATTACTCGTGGGGGCTGCTTTGGGGCATCTTGCGGCGTCGTGGGCGCCTCTTGGAGACCTCCTGGGATCTCTTTGGGGCCTCTTGGGGCCTCCTTGGGGCCTCCTAGGGGCCTCGTGGGGCGGAGTGCCCGACTGTGCGTTCGTGTTTCCCCTCGGGCACTTCTCTGGGCGCCTTCTTGGGGCCCTCTAAGGCCGTCTTGGGGGCCTTCTGGGCCGTCTTGGGGCCCTCTTCGGCCGCCTTGGGCCCCCCTAGGTGGCCTTTTGGGCGGCCTTGGGCTGGTCATGGGGGCCTCTTTGGCCGTCTCGGGCGCTGTGACGACGAACATGGCGAACCTGCTAAGATATACGTGTCCCCAGGGGATTGGAACGATTTTCGCTTGTTGGGGCCCTCTTGGGGTTTCTCTTGGGGCGTTTCGGGGGACTCTTGGGCCGTCTTGGGGCCATCTTGGCATCTTGGAAAGCCCTTGGGCCGTCTCGGAGGCTTCTTGGACCCTGCTTGGGGCTTCTTGGGCCCCCTTCGCCCGTTTTGGGGTCCTGTTGGGCGGGGTCACCGTCCCGAAGGCCCGTGCGACACACCCCGGTAGCGCCCAGTAGCGCCCAAGAGCGCCGCCTGGGAAACCGAGGGCACAGGCACTTAAGAACCTCTCAAGCCCTTCATCTCCTAACATTGTATGGGACTTGGAGCACTCCACTAATTACGTGGCGTAGGCACGGTGGCGGATAATGAAAAAAGGATACATGAGGAACATAACGCGGGAAAGGAGGAGGTGAGGGTGGAGGAGGTGGAGGAAGAGGCGTAGGAGATGGAGGAGGAGGATGAGGAGGACGAAGAAGTGGACGACGACGACGACGACGACGACGACGACGACGACGACGACGACGACGGCGGCGGCGGCGACAACGACGGCGACGACGACGACGACGACAAGGCGGGCAGGCGGAGGTAAGAGGATGAGGGGGCGGTGGGAAAGGAGGAGGTGGCGAGGTGGAGGAGAAAATGGAGGGAAGAGGAGGAGGAGGAGGAGGAGGAGGAGGAGGAGGAGGAGCAGGAGGGAGGAGGAGAGGAGGAGGAGAGGAGGAAGGAAGGAGGAGGAGGAGCAGAGGAGGAGGATGGAGGAGGAGCAGGGAGGAGGAGAGGAGGACGGGGAGGATGATAATGATGATGCTGCTGATGATGATGATGACGACGATGATGATGATGCTGATGATGATGATGATGATGATGATGATGATGATGATGATGATGATGATGATGATGATGATGATGATGATGATGATGATGAGCATGATGATGATGATGATGATGCTGATATGATTATGATGATGATGATGATGATGATGATGAGGAGGAGGAGGAGGAGGAGGAGGAGGAGGAGGAACACGACGACGACGACGACGACGATGACCACGACGACGAGGGAGGCTTGCCGAGACAGCGGGACGAGTTGGCGGTGGGGAAGGATGAGGAGGGGGGGAAAACGAGCAGAGAGGGAAGAAGACAAAAGCACGACGGCACCAGCGGCAAGTGGCTGTCGGACCGGGCGTGCCCGGAGTCCGTGGAGCACCTGGTGGGCCAGTGGGGCGGCGGCACGGTGCTGCTCGAGGACGTGGCCCAGCCCGCCCTCTCCCCCGCCCACGCTCCTCTTCCCGCGTGCTGCTCCCTCTGCCGACTTTTGTTCGAGGCTCACAGGTGCCTCGACCTTCCCCTCGGTGCCAGTACAAGGCCGTCCTGGCCTTACACGGGCGTGCTGGTGCTGGGGGGAGGGCCTGAGGCGCTTGTGCGCCTCCCGCCCGCCCCCTCTGCCTGCCTCTCGGCCTCCGCTCGCTCGCTGGCGACCTTTGTCCCGCGGGGCGGGTGCGGCCGTCCCCCTCGCCCCCCCCCCTTCGCCACCGTGTAGGTGTGGGGAGGGGGGTCCTTGAGGGACAGTGGCCCGACCGTGGTGGGGCCGACGAATGGGCCTCCTCTTCCTCTTCCTCCTCCTCCTCCTCCTCCTCATCCTCCTCCTCATGCTCCTCCTCCTCCTCCTGCTCCTCCTGCTCCTGCTCCTGCTCCTGCTTCTCCTCCTCCTCCTCCTTCTCCTCCCTCTTCAGGTGTGAACCACATGGTGCGAACCACATGGAGCTTGGCTTGATGGTGAGGCACTTCCGACTCCGCAAGTGCTACAACGAGGAGTACACACGGATTCAGTTCTCGATAGCGGACGGACTGACCATCCCAGTAGTGAACGGCCAAGAGGAGGTGGCGATGAGCAAATTGGAGATCGAGCAGGCGGTGGTGAACTGCCTGGTGGTCGTGGGAGGGCGCATGAAGCTCGGGGCCGCTCCTCAGGGCCATCTCGAACAGCTGGCTCAGAGGCTTCTCGACAAAGGCAAGAAAGCGGACAAAGTCAAGAAACGATGAGGACACCACTAGCATCGCACTGGGAAGAGAGGCTGGCAGCTCTGCGTGAACGAGTCCGACAGAGGGAACAAGCACAGCGTGAGACCAGCCAGTAATTCATAACATCTTTTCTTTTTGGGAATGTTCGACGGCTTCATACTATTCAGATCTCTGGAACGCCCGTTTACATGCATGATGGTCTTTGTTTCTGCTCACGCTGTCACTACGGTTTTTTTTTGGAAGAGGCACAGGCTGCGACAGGGTCGTGGCTTAGTAACCCCTCGCCAGACGTCACCGCGTGCTTCTATCCTGATGCAAGACCACACTCCTTTCCATACGTATCGGACGTTCTTGGAGAGACGCTCAGAGTCGTCGACGCTCCTATTCTATATGTGATTGATCGAGCTTCCCAAGCGCGACAGGTTTGACCTCATCGGCGTGAGTTCCTTTCTTCCTTTGGTTCAGTGGAGTTGCGAAGTCTTGCTCTACTCGTACGCCGACGCCGAGGGGATCGACTCCTGGATGAGCATAGGCGCCCACCTGTGCGTGTACTAGGCCGCGTTCCTGTGCGCTGCCGCCCTTCCCCTCCCCTCTCTTCGTCGTCCCTCCTGGTCCTCCTAGCTTTCTCACCCCTTCCGAGCTTGCGGGACCCTGGGCCCCCCAATGAGAATGAGGAGGTGTGTACGAGGAGGTTTCCAGATTTGTTTCGGGGGCCGAGGGGACCGCTCAGGGCAGGTGGAGTGCCTCCGAGGCCAGCCAGGTGCAAGCAGCACCAGACGGCCACGGCCTCTTGCGAGGCCCGAGGGGCACCACCCCCTGCCCAGGGACTGATATAAATTGTGACGGTCTTCATACACGAGTATGAGAGGCTGCACGGTGCGTGCTACCCCCACCTCGGATCGCGAATGAACGAGACGACTGTGCGAGGTAATGCTTAGAGCCAGGCCGACGGCTTGGCGCGAGCGGCAGGTCAGACTGAGACCGCGCGCAAGGCCGAGACTTCCTTCCTCCCTCTTCCTCCTAGCACCCCTGGCGTGGCTGCCGTAGGCCCAGCAGGGCGGTTGCTCGTCCACGTCCAGGTGTGAACGCGGCCGAAGGGCCCGAATCCCAACCGCACGTCCTCTGTGCAAGTCCCACTCCTACGTATTCAAGAGGGCAATGGCATCAGGTTTCTGCCATCCCTCGTATTTTTGGGACGCGGCCCAGTGTCGTCCAACTGCCTGGGTCTGGCAGCGCGGGCTCTCCCGCAAGATGCCCCGCACTCCCCAGTATTTCGCCGATGACCGCCTTCGATCGTCTTCTTCACACTTCTTCGCTTGTGCCTTCTGGTGTTTCGAGGTGCCTCGATCGGTCTGCGATCGGGCTCTTCGTCTCCGCGGCGTATGCTGCCTCCTTGCCCGCCATTCTCGGCGACCACATTTCAGGCGTGTCCACGCCCTTGCTGCTGTCCTAGGCAACATGTGTTTTTCATCCTCCTCTTCTCCTCCCCTTCTCCTCCTCCTGCACCTCCCCCCTCTTCTCAGTATTCTCCTCTTCCACATCCTCTCCCTCCTCTCAAACCAGGATTACCCTGCCCAGTTAATTATGCCGTGCCGTGCCATGTTTCTGCAAGCTTAAGCGCCGCACCCGTGGCGGGAACTCCCCACTTTCGCGTTCCATTCTCGACATGGTGCCGCCTCCTGCGGGTGGCCATACTGGTGATTCAGGTGCTTGGCTCTGGCGTCAAGGACGTTGGATTTCCCCGCCATTTGTCTCACGATGGAGATGCGTGGCGCGCGGTTGCGAGGGGAATAGAAATGCTCAAGTCGGGCATGTCACTCTATAGGAGATCTGTTCGAGAATGGGGAACATAGTATTGGGACGTGCTCGTGTTACTATTTGTGATTTGTTTGATCGCTTTTACGTTTCTTCGAACATCCGCCTGTAGAGGACATGCCCGACCTAAACATCATCTTGGCGAAGGACCCAACCATATGAAGTTGTGGGTACCGCAATTGTGAATATCTTTTTCGGTGAAGCTCCCTATGGGGCCACGAAGCGCTGCGCTGGGCGGGGGGGGAACGCATGCGGGCGGCAGCACTGGGGCCGTCGGTGAAGGTCCCTATGAGGCCACGAAGCGCTGCACTGGGTTGGTAAAAATACCAAATTAGGCGTGTGGGACGCATGCGGGCGGTCCCATTGGGGGCTTCGGTGGAGCTCCCCATGGGGCCGCGAAGCGTTGTAAAGGGTGAGTGCAACTGCCAAATTGGGTGTGGGGGACGCACGCGGGCGGTCCCACTGGGGGCTTCGGTAGGGCGTCCTATTGGGCCACGGAGAGCTGTATTGTGTGGGTGGCAATGCCCACTCGAGTGTGGGGGACGCATGCGAACGGTCCCACTGGGG